ACCAACCCGTGGGTTGGAATATCGGATCGCACCCTGACGTTTCAAGGATTTCTAACACAATACCCTTGCTAATAATGTTTATTACGAACGCTGTAAACGTCCAAATCATGTTGGCTTGATTGTGCAAAAGAAGGCGAAAGTAAAAAACATTGAATCTTTAAAATTATTTTGTTTATATTAAACCCCTTGTCCAAAAGTAGTAGTAGTGACACGTTGATCCCGATTGTCTACCAAGTTGATCCCGATTGTCTCCCGAGTTGATCCCGATTGTCTACCACGTTGATCCCGATTGTCTCCCGAGTTGATCTCGATTGTCTACCAAGTTGTCTACCAATCCTGATTGTCTACCACGTTGATCCCGATTGTCTACCAAGTTGAAGCCGATTGTCTACCGTGTTGATCCCGACTGTCTTATAGTTATGAACGTCGATACACACCACCTCCACCCCGACTACAACATAACCTTTACGACGTGAGCAAGCACTGGAGCATGTAGAAGTAATGAAGTCACACCGTCGGAATGGATGTGTACTCAGGACTCGATCCATGGTGTAGCAACCAGCTGCTGTATCTGTGTCTGTATGGGAACTATCACTGTGACACATATACTCATTAACACGCAGGGCTCCAGATAATTTTTCAACATCAGGAGTACGTACTTCTTATTTTTTCAATATAGGAGTATTGGATAAACTTAAGAGTACATTTTGAGTACTGAATGGAATTTAATGGCGTATCAGTAATCTTGTGTTTCGTTTCATATATGCACCACAACATTGCTACTCTTGTGTAAACAGGTCAATAAACAATAAAACAACACTCTTTCAGATACGTCTGTAAATGATTCCAAGACCGTACACCATTGCTGTGGTTCGTTGGTGCTACGTTTTCTAAATTATTTCCTACCGTATCGTGCATATTTTTTATCCGTACATACGCCGATACGGTCCTTATCTGGAGCCCTGAACACGTATATCTTCTTCTTTTGTGAGAACTGGTGTGTTTTTAACAAAATATATCTGATGTGAAATCAGTTTCCTGTGGGACTTCTTGTACCGGATTATTTCAGAAACATCTGATAACTTATGAGTCCCAATTTATTTAATCAATAATTTAACACCAATAAACACGCTGTTTATCACTGGATTGTCTGGTCCAGACTCGATTATTTACAGACCGCCGCCATATAGCTGGAATGTTGTTGAGTGCGGCGTTAAACAACAAAACAGCCAACCAAGTTTAGTATTGTAAACTGCGACGAGGCGCCAATTGTGTTCAATAACGTCAATATTTACTTGTGACGCGGTCGCGGGTTTGATCCCCGACCGCGTCATACCAAAAGACGTTAAAATATGGTTCTTGTTGGCCCCTGGCTGTCGCCCGGCATTAATGGATACAACAAGGACTGGTCGGCTCGGAGTCAGTATAATGTGTCTGAGTGGGGTGTTCATGCTTCACTGCGGCATGGTATCTCAGTGCTAGCACTATAAAAACCAGCTTCAGTCTGGGCTAGTACAAGCAGCCGCACATACACATACACACGCATGCACGTTGTCATATGAGCGAAATATTCTCAAGCATGACGTAAAACCCAATTTCCGGAATGTTTATTAAATAACCATTGAAATTCGGATGAAAATGAAGTGTGCAGGCCTCCTTTTCTCAGTAGTGTGCATCCCACACCCCACCCCACCCCCTTCTCAAAAAGCAGTATCCGCCCCTGATTTCCACTTCCATCTTCAGTGATTTAAATGTTTAGTCCTAATATATGTGTAAATGCGTTGGAATGTATTTCAGTGGTGTATATGTTTTGTTCACATCATAAAATGTATTTCCTCTCACTGAAACAATTTATTCTGAAGTAACTCTCTGCAGCTTGTTCCTGTTTCAGCTGTTATTGTATCTATTACCAAAAGTATCCAATTCAAATGCTCAGTTCCTGACTTCGTGGTACCCTGGCTCCAGAGCCTTCCACCTGTAACAGGGCATGCAGAAATGTTAAAATGTCAATTACAGCGTGGGTGGTTAGTCTATTTCATAGTCCCTGAATCGCACTATTAGCTCTACTGCCTTGTCCTTTCTGCAATGCTAAAGCCGTAAATGAAGTCTAAATTTCCTTAGTTCCGAATCACCAGTCTTACTGAGGCTCCGTTTCAATTTAAACATAATTATTTGTTTCTCACAAAATTATGTATATTTAGAGACTCTGCGTTAGTCTATGTGGGTGGTGTACGAAGTGTGAATAAATACTTATCTTTTAGTCACGAACAGAGCGTGTCGTTTCTTGAATGCTTACGTTTGGGTGCGGGTGATATCACCAATCGAACGCGACACGGTAAACATACCTATAAACTCAACTGCTATTAAGGAAGAGAGTTTTTATTGATGTCAACTTCCGTATTATGAGGTGTTCCTCAAAATACAAAAGTCGACACCCATACAAACTATCTTCCTTGTGTTTCTGCAATGATCTAAATGAGAGTGTTTGTCATGTGTACTGGGAATGTCAGGAGACACAAACTTTTTGGAAAAACCTACAAATTTGGCTTAACAATTTATACCCCCATCTATTGCTATTATCAAAACATATGGTTCGGTACTCTACATCATAATATATAACTAAATCACATCATCACTGCAGCAAAAAGACACATTTACGTATGCAGTATTAAAAATACGCATCCAAACATACTCTATTATAAAAACTTTGAAAGAAATATTCTTTGTGGAAAACCATATATGCAAAAGAAATAATAAAATAGAAGATTTGAATCATAAATGGGGTCTTCTCTTCCCCAGTACTTTGATGAATATAAAATGTATCCAATTTACCTGAGATCATATTTATCTTTTATTGACTTATATATGTGTATTACATATATAGACATAGTACCTGTACATCATCCATCTGTCTGTACATCACTGTTCTACATATGACATTGTAATCATGGGAACCAATAAAAAAAAACAAATAAAAATCGAACAAAAAAACTATCTTCCTTATGTGTATCACGTCTAAATACCATTCAAAACCCCGTAACTGCGATTCTAACGCTTGTCTGTGATAAACGGAAGTGACAAAGTCACGCGTGTTGTATGACAATGTCTATTACACAAATATCTTTCATGAACAAAGTTGAGATTTCATGTAGATTACGTATAGTTATGTGCGGGTCTGTTGATACTACAACACAAATATTAGCTGGAGTCAGAGATTGCCATAGAGCCTCCCTTTAGACGTAGATTTCAGGAGATACGATCGAATCGAACATACACTATCGACAGTCGTATCGCCTTCGTGGAACCTGATTCTGCTGGCAAGGTTTGCAATCAAAAGGTTTTAGTTCAATGGGATATTTCGAAAGCTAAATCTGAAAATAGATATCTATACCTAGGGATGGAAAAAATAATTCAAATACACTAATCGTTGTAAGTCGTTCCTCGATCTCAGAAAAACTAAAACACATTTTCGAACATCTATTTACACTAGCTGAGAGCCGCGATGCGGTCCTATACAGTCAAGACATGACCCTGCATCGCGATCATGTCTTGACTATATAGGACCGCATCGCGGCTCTCGGCTACTATTTACACCAACTACAGTACGCACCATTAAAGTTTGTGCAAACCGTTTCAAGTTGTTTAAAACTATTTTCCTTATGGGAAGCACTCGTAAAATATTCTCACCGACTCACAACTAATTATTTCTGCTTTTCGTTTCAGAGGAAAGAACTCCAGATTTTAACAAAGAGCAATTTTGTAAGTATGACTCGGAGTGTTGTCAATATTCATGCAGCATTATAAAGATGTAACTTGGCCTTTGTTTCATTGGTGTGGGGAGTCTGGGGTGAAACCTGTCAAGTATTCTCTGGGATGGGGGACACATTGATCTGGCTGAATGATTGAAGGTCATAGTTACCTGAGGCAGCCTACCCAAGTCTGGTACAGGATTATGGTTCTATCTAGAAGGTATTGGGACCTAGGTTATGGGCCAGCGGGACTTATTGAAAAAAAATGTTTGGTAGGCAGATTCGAATTAAAAAGAATGGGTACATAAAAGTTTCATTTAAAGATATATAATTTTTCTTGAAATCGCACCTTTTTCTCAGGTTTGTGACGAGTAGTACTACTGACTGAAAAGTGAGCAATGCGACTCACTTTGTTTGTATGTTGTTGTTTTTTGTTTGTTTTTGTTTTGTTTTTTTTGTTTGTTGTTTTTACGTTGCACTCAGCCATATTCCGCTATATGGTAGTGGTCTGTAAATAATCGAGTCTGGACCAGACCGTCTCGTGATCAACATCATGAGCTTCGATCTACGCAATTGGGATACGATGACATATATCAACCAAGTCAGCGAGCCTGACCACCCCGTCCTGTTAGTCGCCTTTTAAGAAAATCATGGGTTGCTTAAGAACAATTTTAACAGGACTTTCACGGCCATAAAAAAAAATGAAACATTTTACTTGTAATAAGACCCGTACCCTATCTATGTTCAAATGAATATGGCATCCTGATTCTTGAGGAAAGGGCGATTACCTCGAGACCATAAGGTTGGCGACAAGGGGATCGGGTGGTCAAGTTGGTTTGCCTAATTCAAGTCATCGTATCCCGTTTGTGTATCTGCTATTAATGTTGTCAATCACTGGAATGTCTGGTCCAGACGTCGTATAGCTGGAATATTGTTGGGTGAATCGTTAAACAAGAAACAAATAGTAAATAGTCCACGTCATTTCTTGCAGGTCGTACCCGTGAAGGTCCGGGTTAGAATATTGATCTTCAGTAGCCCATGCTAGTCGTAAGAGGCGACTAAGGGGATCGGGTGGTCAGGCCCGCTGACTTGGCTGACACATGTCATCGGTTCCCAAATGCGCAGATCGATGCTCATGCTGTTGATCACTGGATTGTCTGGTCCAGACTAAATTACTTACAGACCGCCGCCATATAGCTGGAATATTGCTGAGTGCGGCGTAAAACTAAACTCACTCACTCACTCTTGCAGGTCGTGCGAGGCATCAAGCCCCACTTCTGCAACTTCGTTCAAGGGGTGCAGCTACATGAACGGGACATCAACACCCAACCCAACAGCCGCCATGGCGATGGCGGTGATGACAATGACGATTATGACAATGGCACGGTGGTTGAGTCGACCGATGGAATATCTCTTGGTCAGTGGCGACACCATCGCTCATCCAGGTATGACAACAACTGTTCATGATGATGTTTATCATACTGATAATAGAAGTGTATTGTTGTGGCTAAAGTTTCAATGGGACGTACAGAATAAAATATATATATGTAATTTTAAAAATAATTTCGACTTTATACTGCAAATTTGCCCAAAGTGGCTATTTATTCGTAATAAAAATTAACAGGACACTATCAAGATGATATATTGTTCAACTGGATATCAGTATTTTTAAACATAATTTTAGATGAAACAGCAAAATTGTCAACAGGGGCAAATATTTAAAAAACAAAAGATAAACAGAATGATATTATATCAATAACTTTGATGAAATGGTTTTCAGTTCTGTAGAATTCCAATTAAAGTTTTGAAAAGGCCATAAAACTACACCAGTTAGAACCAGTTGGAAGGAAACCTGTAGAGAAAACTTTGTCCACCCAAGGAAATGTTAGCAAGGGTAAAAATGAATTTTCCAACTTTGCCCCAGGAGTGGTACGGAGGGACGGCCAGGCTCCCCGAGTTCTGTGGGGGATGGGCTGGAGGATGACATGTCAAGTAAACTAAACACGGACGCCTTGCCACGGTCACTCTACGGTCAGTGCATGTTCATTTGTCCCAGCGGACTTAATGCAAGTTCCATATACTGGTACACTGTTAAAAAGTAAGGATCCTGATTATTTTCCATGCATTTATTTTTGCAGTGAAGACTGAGTTTCATTGACTGTATATACAAATATTGAATGATCTCTTACTGGTTTGGTTCAGTACATATAAGTGCTTATAAGATGTAGAAAATACAAAAGGCTGTTAATTTTAACAATTGATATGTTAATGTGTATTTACAGAATGTATATGTTACATCATTAAATGATATTTTTATTCATAATATTGTTGAAAGAATTCATATAAGGCCATAGATTGTTGAAAGAATTCATATAAGGCCATAGATTGTTGAAAGAATTCATATAAGGCCATAGATTGTTGAAAGAATTTATATAAGGCCATAGATTGTTGAAAGAATTCATATAAGGCCATAGCTTTTTTGACAAAATTCATATAAGGCCATAGATTGTTGAAAGAATTCATATTAGGCCATAGATTGTTGAAAGAATTCACATAATGCCATAAATTGTTGAAAGAATTCATATAAGGCCATAATACTTTGTTATTTGTTTTTAATCCAAATTTTTAAAAGAATTGGGGGCATTAAATTATCAACATTTTCTTTTATAAATGACTGCATACAAATTGTTTCTGTATATTCCTGGCAATAGATGGAAAAAAAATATGGGAAGGCAACACGTTGTTTATTGTTGTGGACTGAACGGTACACACAGTGATATTCTTCATCTGGAGAGGCAATAACTTTATATAAGGGGAGAGTTTGGTAGTCAGACTGTCAGGAATAGAAATGTAATAATTGATTTATTATGGCCTTGTAGTGTATACAATTCTCACGATAAGTACCATTTGCGTGTGTGAATTGAGATTCTCATAATATACATTTCTTTTTCTCATCACTTTAAATAGAAATTTGTTGATTAATGAACTTTAATAATCCTTTATCTCAGCAAGAATATTTAGTCGTTTGGTGATGAGAAGCAGATTTGTGTGTGACATGTTTTTGGTGTGATGCTAAAACTCCAGTGTGCCGTCTAACACTTGTAGGGGCTAAGATTAACACTGACTTGGACGGAGACGGCAAGGACAGGCTCAAAGCCAATAAAGAAAATGGTAAGACTGGCATCTAATGTGCCCTAATAAGTTCAGATATCTACAAATATATCAGTTAGCACATGCCATGTGACTGTCAGCCTGGATTTATGTAGTATTTATCCATCCCCCCCCCATGCCATCGTATCCCAAACTGTGTAGATCGATGCTCATGCTGTTCATCACTGGATTGTCTGGTCCAGACTTGATTACTTACAGACTGCTGCCATATAGCTGGAATATTACTGAGTGTGGCATTCAACAACAAAACAACCAGCCAATCATGCCCCCAGGTTATTTAAGCTATCCTTCATGCCATACCAGTTTGTAAGGGAGACAACTCCTGTCATACCTGACTGCAAGATTAACAAATAAACTCATATGTACACACATTAATCAGTGTTATATTTAATGTTTTCTGCAGTATTTGATTGCTTAATCCTTCTACTTTGAGAGTGAATATTAAGATAACCAAATTTGTTGTGAATTTAATTTTTTTTAACAAAACTCTAATTTGACAAAAATACATATGAATGAGAACACTTTTTAACCATATCTAAGAATGTGCATCTATTAATATCTAATTACTAAAACCTATCTTGTGGAATTCATATTTTGGACATAAAGTTTTAAATCCTTATTTATTAGTTATACTTTGATCTGTGATCCGCATAACGCTGATACAAGTGTTATATCATTTGCTGGTATTACAGAACTGCGGCCATATATACAGATTCCGTCCCCGGAACCCCCTGTTGATCCAAAACCTGCATGGAGAGACACGGTAAGAGTAACGGACGGTCAAGCACCGGTAGTTTGGTATTCCCCTTTTATCAAGAATACCCAACTTGCTTTATTATATAGTCCTTGCATAAGGAATTCTATTTAGATTGAGTTGGTTTATGAGATGAACTGACACAGAAAAGGGAAATACATATATATACATATATGACTTTTAAAAGTTTGTTTTTGTAACTGTTTGACAGTTAGGTGAAATGAATAAAAAACACAACATGAGATGTTATAACTTTCGTTCCTAAGAAATGGTTCAGTTTACATTTAAAAACTAAACTTTTTTCTGGCTAAAAGGAAAGCAGTTAACTTTTGGTATAATTTCGCAATTATACTTCCAGGATGAACTATGAGTTTGTTTTTTGTTCATAGTAACAGTACTAACCTAGAAGTTGAACAAAAAATGTCTTTTTTCACCATGACAAATGTTAGGCCCAACTCTGTAAGCAAACTAGTAAAAAATGAAATGGCTAATGAAGGTTCACAGTTGAACTTTCCAAAAACTGCAGTTTGTTAATATGGTACATCTAGTTTTGTATTGTATGGGTTAATAAGTTTTCTTGATCAGTATGGATCAGGTGATCAGGCATAGTGAGTAAGTTTAGTTTTACGCCACACTCAGCAATATTCCAGCTATATGGCAGCAGTCTGTAAATAATCCAGTCTGGACTAGACAATCCAGTGATCAACAGCTTGAGCATCGATCTGCGCAATTGGGAACCGATGACATGTGTCAACCAAGTCAGTGAGCCTGACCACACGATTCCGTTAGTCGCCTCTTACGACAAGCATGGGTTACTGAAGATCAATTCTAACCCGGACCTTCACGGGTCCAGGCTTAGTTACCTAAATGGCAAGTACACTTATGATGAATATTTACATTGTCAGTCACTGGATTATCTGGTCTAGATTCAATTATTTACAGATTGGCATCGTTTAGCTCTAATACTGATGAGTCTGGTGTTAGGCAACACATCTGGTCAAATTGCCAAGCAACAGGAATCAAAATGATGACCAAAAAAGTGTTCAGACCAATTTAAGGTAGATTTCCTGAAAACAAACCCCTTCAAATAGAAAAAATATTTTGGTTAAAAAAAAAAGAATGTTCTCAACTAAAACTCACAATGGCTTGCTCCATTTTCAGTTTTTGAAGCTATTAAGGCACACTGGCACATTTTCAAACAATAACCTAAATTTGTGAGGCATCTATTCCAAAAAGCAAATCTGAGTGCTATGACTACCTCAAGCCTATGTTAAAGTCTGGTAGTTACAATAATCAACGCGCTAATTGTTTTGTGGAACAACAACCCAGGCCTTAATATAAATCAAATGAAATGACGACTTTCCTTCCCCTGAAATAAACCAGATTGATCGGTAATGTTTATTGACAGAATAAACAAAACAGAAAGAACATTAAGTTCACATTTCGCATAATCCATAGCCCTTTCTCCACCATTCATCCCAGATCAGACCATGTAGTGATCCAATGTTTGTACACTAATTAAGTCTTTAATGCACAGCCACATTAACGCCAAGTGCTATTGATTAGCGTATATTTCAGTCCGGCCTGACAAGTCCAGTGTTATCTCTAGGCAAGGACCATGTTAATTACATACTTGGTTGTATTGATTTCCACCTGGTTATGAATCATTAAGGTCTCATTGTATCCGTTGTAACTAGGTAGAGAAACTGTCATACATGTTGCATGTGTATTGACGGGGGGTAGAGACCTCGTCCATTGCATCAGCTGACTGACAGCAGACATGGAATACCCAGTGTTTGGGGCAGTTCAGTGTTGTCTATAGCTTGTTAATGTCTTGGAATCGTGTTGGTACCAGGACTAAACTCAATTATAAATCGATTATCTAAGACTTTAAGATGCCTAAGAAAAAGGTAAGTCTGTTTCTAAACTTTAGAATACCCACTGTTTGGGGCAGTTCAGTGTTGTCTATAATATGTTAATCTTTTTGAATCGTGTTGGTATCAGGACCAAACTCAATTATTTATTGATTATCTGAGACTTTAAGATGCCTAAGAAAGAGGCAATATTTTTTAACTTTTGATATGAGCAGAATATGGATTATAAAATTGTATCTAACATTATATATAGAAAACAGTTACACACTTTTGAAAGAGTATTCTTCATCTTGTTCTGTTGGTTGGTGATGCTGGCAATACCATGCCCCAAATAAGGAAACATTACATGAGATTGTGATCATTTGTTTCACATTAAAGGTGAAACCATTGATGACTCAGTCAGTTAAAGTATTGTGACTTGTGATACACATAACACATTTAACTTTAAACAACTTAACAACATAACAATACATACATACATACATACATACATACATACATACATACATACATACATACATACATACATACATACATACATACATACATACATACATACATACATACATACATACATACATACATACATTTGTATAGCGCCGATATCCAGCTCAGCTGCTCAAAGGCGCTTTGTTTTCCCTTGATCACTGGATGTCAATCTCAACGGCACGTTGTAATATCAATCTCAACTCCCTGGGGAGCATAGAACTCTTGCCGCCACTAGGCTGAATAATTGCCCATCTATTCAACTTCTTTTCAGGACTATATCTCCAGGCATCAAACATCACACACACGTTTTAATGCATTGAAACAGTCACTCAGTCTTGCTCATTGTTAATCAAGCATATGTTATGAGTTTATGGGACACAAATACATGTTAGAAGTAGAAAAAAGCATTTTAAGGCCAGACCAATTATGTTTCTTGTTTTACGGGTTTTTGTCCTCAGAAAACCTAAAGGCAGGAGACATTAAAAAAAAAATCACTAGTCAAAGCAAAAACCCAATTGAGTTTCCATGTTAACTCTTTTGGTTTGTTTATATCAACTAAAAATAAGTTGAGTGAGTTTAGGTTTCACACTGATTTTAAGAGTATTTCAATTATATCACATTTACAATATGATTTTATTTTTTGAGCAGGCAAAATTAGTTTTCATTTTTTTTCTTATTCTTGCAAAAAGACGACCGGCTGATCTGTAAAACAAGAAATTAAATTGGTCTGGCGTGACCAGAATTATTTTTAAACCAGGGGCATCAGACAGTGAAGCATGTCATCCTATCCCCAGTCTGTAGATTGTCTTGAAAATTGCAGACCATCATCAGCTAGAATATTGCTGAGCAACACCGAAACCAACAAACCAGCTGTACACATTTTACCATGTGGGGTGTGACAAGGTCAGCTTGAACCATTAGGCTACCCCACACCCCAGTATAGAATGGAACTGCTGAATGTGTGATATTGTCATCACTGGATTGGAAAATACACTAAATTACCTACATATTGACTTGCCTTGCACCTAACTAAACATGAAATCCCCTTGCACCTAACTAAACATGAAATCCCCTTGCACCTAACTAAACATGAAATCCCCTTGCACCTAACTAAACATGAAATCCCCTTGCATCTAACTAAACATGTAATCCCCTTGCACCTAACTAAACATGAAATCCCCTTGCATCTAACTAAACATGAAATCCCCTTGCACCTAACTAAACATGAAATCCCCTTGCACCTAACTAAACATGAAATCCCCTTGCACCTAACTAAACATGAAATCCCCTTGCAATACACTAAACATGAATTTCCCTATTTGATGTAATGGGAAATGTGAAATATACTAAGCAATAATGAAGTTTAAACTTAATATCAAGAAGCTGTTTATCTAGTAAATGTTAAATGTCAATGGATAATTCTCTCAAGTATTTTTTTTTTAGCAATACTTTTCTAGTTTATTATCTGTCAGTTTGAGAGAGCTATCCATTAACAACCTATGTCAGTGTTTAAAACTCCCAAAATGCCAAGCTAGACAGCCGGACTGGTAACTTTATAAAAATTACCAGTCCGGATATAGACTTGCCTGTCCGGTTTTCAACAATAAAAAACAACAAAAATCAAGTTAGTCAGGTTACTGTTTGTAGGCATCGCAATGAACAACATAGTACTAACAGGCAATGCACCGAGTTTAGGTAAACTTAAAGTACACCTGTTGTGATTGGTTATCGTAACATGAACTGTCCAATCGTAAGTAGTTTAACATAATCATCATAATGCGAAAACACCTAAACTGATGACAAGAGAACCCGTCTGATATTATGAAATATTTACTGTTAGGGGTAAAAATAGCTACCAGACCACCGGACAGGCTACTTTTGAAATTTGACCGTCCGAGATGAAAATGGACCCTTCCGGACGGTCGGGCAGGCAGGAATTTTAAACGTTGCCTATGTCACAAGCGCATAAAACTAAAACTGACCCTAATTTCTGTTGATCATGCACAGTTTACTCTAAGTTAGCAGGGGCGGTGGGGTAGCCTAGTGGTTAAAGCGTTCGCTCGCCATGCCGAAGACCCGGGTACGAATCCCCACATGGGTACAATGTGTGAAGCCCATTTCTGGTGTCCCCTGCCGTGATGTTGCTGGAATATTACTAAAAGCGGCGTAAAACCAAACTCAGTCAGTCAGTCTAAGTTTGCACAGAATCTCATGTAGCATGAAAACCTGGTACTTTCTTTGAAGCTGTTGCGTTTATCAGCCAGTGTGTGAATATGAGGTCTTTATGAACCAGGTTGCCGTTGTACAAAGCGATCTTAGCGCTAAGGTGACCGTAACTCCCATACTTTAACATAGACTTAAGGTAGCCTTTGCGCTAAGGTTGTTTTGTACAACGGCACCAAGGGCTGTAGGGTAGCCTAGTGGTTATAGTGTCCGCTTGTGACGCTGAAGACCCGGGTTTGATCCCCCACATGGGTACAACGTGTGAAGCCCATTTCGGGTGTCCCCTTCAGTGATATTGTTGGAATATTGCTAAAAGTGGTGTAAAACTTGACTCACTCACTCTTCACAAACCCTCCAGAACAGAAGTGTTTAAACCTTATACCCTGTTTACTGTGTTGCAGGTGAAGAAGTCCAGTAAGGGCAGTACTGGCAAGAAGGGGAGACAAGCAGGCAAGTCCACCACAGGGGGTGCAGGGGGAGCTGGTGGGGAGGGGAACGGGGAGGATGGGGGGAAGAAGAGGTCGTGTATCAAGAAGAAGGACAAGAAGAAGACGGACAGACACCGGAAGAGTACAATGGACTCGGAGCCGCAGGTGGAGCCTGTGACAACCATTGTGGAGGAGAAGAAGACTCCGGAGCCGGAGAAGTAAGTATCTAGTCGTTGTCATGGTTACCTTCTCCAGGGGTGTGTTTAAAGGCTAATTAGATTAAATATATTATGCATTGCATTTCCTTTTCCTTTTTACTGATTCTTTGATAAAATTATTCTTATTGGATGCTGACTGTTTGATCAAAACTTCTCAATGGATGCTGACAGTTTGATCAAAACTTCTCAATGGATGCTGACAGTTTGATCAAAACTTCTCAATGGATGCTGATAGTTTGATCAAAATCTTCTCAATGGATGCTGATAGTTTGATCAAAACTTCTCATTGGATGCTGATAGTTTGATCAAAATCTTCTCACTGGATGCTGATTGTTTGATCAAAACTTCTCATTGGATGCTGATAGTTTGATCAAAATCTTCTCATCAGATACTGACTGAATTCAGTCTTCTCATTGAATGTACCTTAGTTGATTAACCTATTTCTTATTGGATAACAGTTGTTTGAATACAGTCTTCACAATGGATACCATACCTGGTTATTTGAAGGAAAACAACCTTAAAAACTATTGCCTACAATACCCACTATTTGTTATTATTTGTTAGCCAGGCAGATGAAAGAAAATGTATTTTTGTTCACTATTTTGAGTAGCAAATATAGTCACTTTTAAAATCCCTGACAAGAACCTCCAAGCAAGCCTACAATTCTTTGGCATGCCTACAAAGGTCCGGGTTAGAATATTGATCTTCAGCAACCCACGCTTGTCGTAAAATGCGACTAACGGGATCGGGTGGTTAGGCTCGCTGACTTGGTTGACACGTGTCATCGGTTCCCAATTGCGCAGATCGATGCTCATGTTGTTGATCACTGGATTGTCTGGTCCAGACTCGATTATTTACAGACTGCCGCCATATAGCTGGAATATTGCTGAGTGCGGCGTAAAACTCAACTCACTCACTCACTCAGTTACAGGCTTTTTTTCTTCCTTTCTTTTATATCTTGAACATTATATAGTTTAGTAGAAATAGTAGACTTAAATATAGTAATATGATTTAGTAGAAATAGTAGACTTAAATATTGTAATATGATTTAGTTCAAACATTAGACTTACATATTTCAATATGATTTAGTTCAAATAATTGACTTACATATTTTCATATGATTTAGATCAAATAATAGAAGTACATATTGCAAAAGGTTTATTTCAAATATTAGACGTTCACATATTCTCCAAAATAAAGTTTCGAAACCATCATGTCGAATTCAGACCTGGAAATGTTATAAGAACAGGCTGCTAAATCTGAGAAGGCGAAGGGAGTGGAATGGGGTAAATGTTTTATAAAATGCATGCTCTGGAGTCTGAAAGAGAAACCATTCCTATGTCGATATTTCATATTACCGGGTAGCTGATATTATTTATTTAGACTTTTTAAACTGAGGCTCCACCATCAGGTTTTGTCCGATTCCAATGAAGACATCTACTTCATGCTCACATGAAGTTGATGCTCTGTTGTAAGCGAGATACTGTTCAAAGCATCATAAATGCAAAGTCACTCACTCACTATTGTCAGTTTCATATTGATTTCCCAGTTGTCAATCACACTCGTCAGTTGTCAAGTGAGATTGTTGATACACTGAGTTCAGGCCATTGTGTATTCATTCATACACAAACAAGTACATCTACACTACACAGAATCCACAAGAATCTAGTCACCGGAGTCCGTCATACAATCCCTGTGAAAAGAAACAGATCCCGAAATGACATTACTTAATTAGCACCAGCGTTGTAGCTCCGCTATTCATATACTAGACAGTTGACAAGCTGATATTGACACACTCAGTCTGTTATTGACATGGCTTGTACATATCGCCAAACAGTGAAAAGATCAAACAGTCAGGGTTTGAGTGGCAGGTGGATTGTGTAGCTCTAAGCCGAAATTGGTGCCTTGAAACTTTGGTGACTCGTGATTGTTGTCACTGGCATCGTGGTAAAGAAATGACAGCATCATTCTTTGTACATTTCACCATGATGTGGATCTATGTTGCTCTGCCAAGGAGAGTGATCACTAACAACTGAAACTGACAATCTGTCAATCAAGGATCTCGCTGATATACACCATATATGTGAGTAGTACATGTAACATGTATCATTTTTATAAAAGGCAGTGTCTTTTTTTTAGATCCAGACAAATGGCATAAGGATGTTTCCATAATTTTGACAGCTTTTAAATCACAATGGGTATCTTTTGTGTTAAGTTACCCAGCACTTGTACAAGTGCTGCAACAATGAAAACTATGCATGTATATACTGAAACTATGAAATCACATGATTAACTTTGACTTGACATCAGAAAAATGTCTCCAAGTCCATCTCCATCACACATTCAATGAGCTTTACACCTGTATGACAACATTGTTGTTTGATTACATTATAGCTAAATACCCAGAACAACCAAAGTTGATTTTTTGGTAATTTTGACAAATATTTTTAAAAAATTGAACATATATTTCCAGAAGATGTCAGCAAAACATAAAACTAGGATGAGTTAAAATTTACATAAGATTAATGCGTCGTGTATAGTTATAGATGTGTTTTCAGTCAAGATCTGAACAATGCCCAGTGGTAAGACATTCCTTCATATCATTACCAATTTGAAAAGAACCTTGAGGACATTCTGGATAACAATCAGTATGAAATCAACATGAAACCTGGAGGTAAATTCTAAATAGGAAAAGCTGTAAGACCATGATAGGGGTCTGTGAAGTATTCTCATGAATGTTCTCTAATTCTTGATCCTCTCATATGTAATATGAATTAATTAGTGCAAATGGTTATTTTTCTGTAACAGACAAATAAATCACCTCCAGAAGTATGCCTTGTTTATAATTGACTTCCTTTTTGAAATGATGTATTACATACAATACTATGTTTTTTTATTACATTGTATGTTGAAAAGTTTCAAATAAATAGATATCAGTATACAATTCAGATCATGAATATTAAAGAAAAACCCTGAATATAATGCGATTGCTTGTTTTAATCTTTTACAAATTAAAACAAAAATTAAAATTAAATATCCGAAAAATCTAAATAAGATATGAAGAAAAAGTAGCTATAAAATAAACAGCATTTAACCAGTTACTTGCTAAGTTGTGTTCGGGTAACCTTGTGGTTATTTGCTTGTCACCCCAAAGACCAGGGTTCGAATCCCCACGTGGGTACAGTGTGTGAAATCCATTTCTGGTGTCCTCCGCTGTGATATTGCTTGAATATTGTTAAAAGTGCTGTGAAACTAAACTCAATCACTCACACTCACTCATAAGTGAAATCACCACTTCCCTGCGAAACGTTCATTTCATTTTATCATGAAACTGATCAAGTCCCCGCAGTGATTATGTGGTGTACGCACACAAAGTGTATCAGTTACCCCACGGACACAATGTCAGTTTCAGATCCATTTCGTCTCACTGTTGACCCCTCTGAGCATATTCATGTACATTTCATTTCCCTAACCATTGATTTCACATCCAGGTGAAATCAACACCTGAAATTGACGTGCTTATCTGTCCCCAGACAATCAGATTCGAACCCCCTTGTGGCAACATACACAAAGCATTATTTTGGTTAACACACACAATAGGATAGGCCCCAGGCAGGAATGTGGCTTGCATGTTGTATGGTTGTAGATTTCATGGAGAAATGTACATGATATATAGACACTACCTGTTCAGTGGCATCACTATACATTGCCTGAAACTTCAGTTCATTATCATGTCAATGCATTGTACACCACAAATATGACAGTCATGAAAATGATATACATTTTTTCACTTTTATCACCAAATTCTAATTATATTCTTCTATGGAAGCCCATTTCTGGTGTCTCCCGCCTTGATGTTGCTGGAATATTGCTGGAATATTGCTAAAAGCGGCGTAAAACCAAACTCAGTCAGTCAGTCAGTCTTCTATTGAAGCTTGGATAGGCTTTGTTTGTTGTTTAATGCTGTAATGTTCCAGCTATATCTTAGTGGCCTGTAGATTATTAAATCTGGACTCGACAATCCAGTGATTGATATTATGAACAACAATCAACATGCAGTCAACCAGGTGTGTCTGAGCACTGAGTATGGCTTGTATCTCACTTATAACAAGGCTAATATGGAGGAAAAATCTTTACTGCAAAATTTAACATACCCGTGAAGATCCTGGTTACAATTGGTCTTAAACAACATATGCTTGTCGAAAGAGGCGGCTAAGCAACGGGATCGGGTGGTCGGTTTGCTGACTTGGTTGACACACATCTTATCCCAATTGCGTAGATTAATGCTCATGATGTCAGTCACTGGATTGTCTGGTCCTGTCTCGATTATTTAGCTGGAAAATTTCTGAGTATGGCATTAAACAACAAACCAAAAAATAACATAATTTAACATGACTGCAGTTAAGACAATGTTGAAATAAAATGTCAAAATTTAGAGGTAAAATACAATATCACAAATACACTATTTAAATGAAATGTTAAAATGATACAAAGCTCAAAATACAATAAATACTTTTGCAGTTTTGAAGAATGTTTCATTTATTTTCAATTTGCCTTTCAAGAACACTAAGTTTGGAATTATGAATGTACTTTTGAATTTATTGAAGGGCCACAGATTTATTTCATGTTCCCATATTTCAATGAAAGAATGAGGTTATAATTTGTTTTGAGTTGGATCATATCGCGACGATATGTTCAAGATACAGACTTAATTAAGGCAATATGAATTGTAACTAGTGTTGGGAATTAGTTGAAATCTCACAATTGATTATTGCTTCATTACCAACGAACAATCATCGTTAGCGTCATTTTTCAGATTTTCCTTTCCAGGTTGTTATTGCAGATATGTATAACATGATGCAACTTGTTACTTTAAAGTGATGACTAATATATCATGAACATAAACTTCCTGGAGTCTTAGAGAAATATTCAGTCATGACTTTTCAGTCAGTGAAGTGAGTTTTCTAAGAAATAAACATGTTTCCAGGCCCTGACAACTT